TCAGCAACTAAAAATTGTTGAAAACAATTGTAAAATTTGACAGGATACAAGATTAAGTTTTCTTTGTCACAAAATGATAATAAGACCACTAATGTAAATCAGAGTCATCCATAGCCTATAGACAAACCCATGGATTCTGGGCTCCCACCTTAATTCTTATGACATGGCCCTGATCAATACTCGCTTTCCTGAAGCAATCACTGAAGATATGGGTGCAGTAGTAAAGTGTAGTAAAGAAAGCAGATGGTGCCTGGCTATCAATTGGAATAGTGTCTGGCGTCTTAAAGGCTTGTACTCAAACAAGCAGCCATCTAAGTGAGGCGTCAATAAAGTCCACATGGAAGAAGCACACCAGCCTGTGTGATTCAAAGATGACAATAACAAAATCTAACTATGATGAGAGGAAAAGTATCAGAGCTTAAAATGTGAACACCCAATTTGTAGAAGGTCATGGAGGACAGTGGGAGCCCAGAATCCAACTGCAAAATATCTTGTCAGATTAAGCCTCTGGCAGCTCCCCTCTGGCCACAGTCAAGGGACACAAACAGCTTTGCTATCAGACAGAGATTATTATAAACTTGAGTATGGTGGATGGAATTACAGTATATTTTGATACCTGGTCAGTTGACCTCCCTCTTGACCCAATCTAAATTAGTTCTAGGTTTAAGTATTTCTCACTTATTCCAGGACATACATTTTCTCTCTGGCTTATTTTAATATTGCTAGCAGTCTTTTCTTTTTCTTCTTTATTTTTAATTTTTTCTTTCTATTTTGTTATTTTGAATTATTTCTATTATGCTTCCCAATTTATAAGCACAGAAGGAGTGGATGCATAGCCAATAACTGATGCAAGGGTTTACTGGGAATGAGGGAGATAGGGTGAGGGGAACTGGGAAGCAAATAATGAATATGGGAGGGGGAAGGGTGGTTAGAACTGATTGTGATGATGTATATGCAATTCTTTTTAAAAGCAATTTAGCTATGGAAGTATATGAAATTTTACACAATAAAATTAATTTTAAAATCAATTGGATTCTTGTATTATAAACAAAACAGAAATGAGAAGAATACCATTCACAATAGCCACACAAAAGATTACTCAGTGGTATACCTAATCAGAGAAACAAAAGACTCATACACAGAATAAAGAACACTACTATAAGTGACCAAAAGAGACTTACATAAAGGGAAGAATATTCCATTTTCATAAATAGGAAGTCTTAATATGTGAAACTGTCAATACTATGAAAAGCAATCTATAAAACACAATGCAATATGTTTCAATTCCCATCTACATTTTTAAAATAAATGGAAAAACTTAATTGCAAACCTTATGTGGAGAGTAAAGAGACACAGAATAAACAAAGAGCATCTTAAGAAGAAGAACAAAATAGGATGCCTCTCACTCCCCAACCTAAACCTTTTACACAGCCACCATAGTCAAAACAGCCTGGTACTGATACAATGACATACACAGACCAATGGAACAGAACAGAGAACCCAGAAAAAATGCATCCACATACAAACAACGTCTTTGACAAAGGGCCAAAAGACACGAGATGAAAAAGAGATAGTCGCTTCCACAAATGGTGCTGGTAAAATGGAATCGCCATCTGCAGAAGAATGAAACAGGACCGATACCTCACCCCATGCACAAAACCAAACTCAGTGACTCCAAGACCTGAATGTAAGTCTCAGAACCATAAAGATCCTCAGTGAGAAAACAGGGACGAATGTGCAGGCCTTCCTACAGGGCATTCACATACTATCAAATGCGGTTAAGGAAACACAGACAATAGAAGACAAAATACACTATTGGATCTGACAAAAAATAAGACAATTATGTACATCAAAAAGTTTCATTAAAGGATAAAAAGGGAACCTACAGGCTGAGGAAAACATTTGGCAATGACACAATGGACAAGGGACTAAACTCTAAAATCTATAGAAAACTTCAATACCTCAATAAGAAAAAAAACCAAAACAAATAGCCCAATTAAAAAGTTGGCAAAGGATGCGAACAGATATTTCACCACGGATGCCATTTAAAGGATGCAAACAGATATTTCACCACAGATCACATCCAAATGGCTCACAAGCATATGACAAAATGCTCATGATCATTAGCCATCAGGGAGATGCAAATCAAAACTGATGAGACACCACTTTACACTGACGATAGCAACCAAGTTTTAAAGAGAAAACAAATACTGAGGGTTCAGAGACATTGGAACGCTCTCAGGCTGCTGGTGGGACTGTAAAATCATGGTGCACACGCTGTGGAAAGCAATATGGCACCACCACAAACAAATGGAAATCGAAATGCCATATGATCTAGCAACACCTCCGCTGAGTATATCCACAAAAGAAGCGGGAGCCATGGCACGACCAGGCACAGGCACGCCCGCCGTGCTCATCACAGCCCTGTTCCAAGAGCAGCGCGAAGGAACCCACCCAGATGCCCACCAGTAGAAGGATGGACCAAGAAACCTCGGCATACAGCACAGTGGAATACTGGGCATCACTAAAACACGATGACGAACATGTGGAGCACTGAATAGCATGATCGGCCCGAGAGCATTACTCTGGAAGGAAGTAGGCAATCACAGAAGGACAAATATTGCTTGAGACTACTACTATCAGGATAAAAGCCAAGACACAGACTGGTATCCAAAAGAGGCAACAGACTCTGGAGGTAACGAAGGTGAGGGAAGACAGGAAGATAACGCAGTGGACTAGCAATTCCCGGGGAAAGGTGTTCACTGGGTTAAAAGGGGAAAAGAGCATTCGGGAGGAGGGTGGGGTAGGCTCTGGGGCTGCCCGGGGGCCAAGTGGTTTGAACTGTTGAATGCAGCAATAATGATCTGAAATGTAACCCCCCCACACCTAATTCAATAAACAAATCACACAAAAAGGGAAAGGAAGGAAGGAAAGGAGTGAGTGGTAATCAGACTGGCAAAAACTCAGTCGATTTCAACATATCGATAGGAATTTTTAAAATTGTATTAGTGGTTAAATAAAAATTATTTCAGTCAAGTTCTATAAAATATTGAAAGATAAATCATCCTACTCTCTTGCCTCTGTATGTGTGTATCTGTGGGTGCTCAAGTATATGAACTTACTACACAAGTACAGTAATATTTTTCAAGTATATGAATTTACTACACAAGTACAGTAATATTTTTAATCAATGAAATCATTATTTATCATCTGTATAATTTAACATTCTCCTGTATGGGAAAAAAATTATAAAGACCTTTATGTTACTCCTTTCACAGGAATAGAACTCCAAAAAGTTAAAAATCCAAGTGTAAAACTAAAACTATGCAAAAACATAATATTTAGGGAGAAATAACCAAGTACACAATAATATTTAGGGACATATTTTCAGAATGAGAAAACTTGGAAATTCAAAGATTGGAAAGTGAAAGGTGATAGGATTTGACCAAGCTTAAATATGAAAATATTTATCTAATGGTGACCATAAAGTTAAACACAATGATTTAGAAGAAAATATTTATTATATATATAATAGGGAAATTAGTTAATACTCCTACTATAAAAGAGAGTTTCTAAGATGACTTATGAAACTGTCAGACAACTAAGTAAAGAAATTAAGGCATGAGGAAATTGATAGAATAATAATTATAAATTGCCAGTATAGTTATGAAAATATGCTTAGATTAACTCTGAAAAAATAAAATGTATAACAATTATAAGCACCATTTTTTTCTGATCAAATTTTCAAAACGTAAGAATATAGATAGCTGATACATGCAGTGTCAGCAAGGCTGTAGAAAAACAAATATTCTAAAAACTTGTTGGTGGGAGTGTTATTTCCAGAAACTTTTGGAACAAAATCCATTGAAATTCCTTAGAAATTTAAGTCCCGGTATCCCTTTGGCCTATAATCTCACTGCAAATATAGATATAAAGTAAACTGACAAGAGCTGACCTGCGGTCTCCCTCACCGCCATCACATTGATCCCGACGACTTACAGGACAGTGAGAACTGCCCCATGGGTTTGCAAGTCTCTTTCCAGAAGCAGAATGCTGCGTATTTCTCCTGAGGAGAAGCTGGTGGTTTCAAACTGCTGACGTTGCAGTTATCAGCTCAACTTGTAACCGCTATACCACTAAGGCTCCAAGAACATAGATCTAAGAGTGATCATTTCACAGTTTTGTATTAAGAATAAGAATTGAAAATTGACTGGGGCTTGCTCACTTTCCCAAGGAGGTTTGGTAGTTAGCGGTGATGGAATCCACTTGGTTGTATCGTGAGACCTGGCTGGAGCCTGAGCATCTTTGATTGGTCTGCCTCTGAGAGTCCACATTAGTGTCCTCAGCACAGCTTTAGAGTCCTACATCCTCTCTCATACTCAAGGCCAGTTTGGTGCTACAGAGACAAGTGATTCAGTCCTCAAATAGTAAGAGTCAGCCATATGCATGTGTTAGAATTTCTCTAGTTTCACATAAAGTCAGGCTATACTGGAATCATTAAGATGGAATGCGTATTCAAATTTAAAATTCCTGGGTTCTGTCCCAAAACTATTCAATCAGAATCTCCCAGGATTAGATGTTGGAATATGTAATTTTAGCCAACTCCATTAAGTATTTCTTATTCACCTAAAATTTGATAGAAAGTTGGGGGGAAGCACGCAACAAGACATCAATGTTGGTTATCCATACATAGTAGAAACACAAATCACTTTTACTTATCTTCTTAACATTTTGCAGTGTTATTTGAAGATTATGCAAAACGTATGCACCCTCCATGCAAAGGAAGAAAAAGACTAAAATAAAGTAATTTTCTAAAAGATATGACCTAGAGTCACACGTGAGCTATATTACACACACTGTTGGCTCCGTGTCAGTTTCTGCAGAACAAAACCTCCTGCCATTCACATTTACCACTCAAGAAAGCACATTGCTATCAAGTGATTTTGAATTAGAAAGTGTCATCAAATAAAAGTTTTTAAATTATTGATTATATATTTTAGATTTTCAAACTTGAGACTTCTGATACAGCAGATATTTATAGTAATATTGTTGAGAAGGAGATGCATAAAGAAATTAAAGCACCAGAAAGTCAAAGTAAGTGTTATTAAATTGAATAAGCATAATTGATGTAAAGACAAACTGAGCAAATAAGAGCTTTACTTCTATCTTTACAATACACCTTGTATAATGATATCTTGTTCTTGTGTTCATTTTTATTTTGCATATTTATTTTAAATTTCTATAGTATTACAAAATATGATACGAATAAAAAACACCTCGCTGTCACTAAGTCAATTTTGACTCATAGCAACCCTACCAGACAAAGTCGAACTGCCCCTGTGGGTTCCTGAGGCTGCAAATTTTTACAAGAGCACAAGACCTCAGCTTGTGGTTAGTAGCTAACCTATTGTGCCACCAGGTGTGCAGGTGTGTGTGTATCCAGAGCTAATATGTATGTAATGATGTTATATAAGGAATAAGCCTTACATAACTCTTTCCGTGTAGAAGCATTTCATAGTATTTCTTCAGTACCAGTTAGATATTAAAGATGAAATAACTCATGGTTTGAGAAGCAGCAGTGGCATTCTCTGATAGGAATGCCTCTGAGGTGGTTCTACAAACAGTCTGCATCGGTCAAATCGTCACATCGACCCAAGGGGACGCATCTACGCATCACTATCCATCAGTCATCGTGCTACTTACTAGGGGACAGAGAACATGAATGACGACGTGGCACCTGCTCCAAAGGAGCCAACAGTTTGCGGGAAGATCAACCACTGCAGTTCGTCTCGTGTCACTGTTTGAGCCTCTTATCTGCCATGGCACACCTCTACTCTAGACAGTGCAAGAGACTTTTGCAGCTGCTTGTTTCTTAGAATCCGTGAATTTGGGAGTTGCCATTGGGGGGCATTCAGTTGGGAGATAACGATAATTGGGCGTGGCCCCTTTTCTTCCCGGATTGTTGTGATTAGGTGTCATCAAGTCGGTTCCAACGCACAGTGACCCTCTGTGAACAGACACGCTGCCCCGTCCTGGGCCATCTGCACAATGGTTCTGAGGTTTGAGTCCATTGTTGGAACCACTGTGTCAACCCGTTCTACTGAGGTTCTTCTTTTACACTGTCTCGATACTTTACCAAGCATGATGCCCTGCCCCAGGGACCGGTCTCTCCTGACAACACGCCCAAAGTATGTGAGCCTACTATAATACAATTCCCGCAGCACATATTGCAGCCGGCCAGAGGCCCATCTAGATGGAACCAGGTCCGCTCTCTTGTTCTTCTGGTATACTTCAACTCATTTATTTATTCCTGTCTGTGTAGTGACCCATTCGCATCTCCCCCATTCTGACCCAATAGATTTTCTAAAACCAGGGAGCAGTGTGGTAGGTGTAGCGTATAGGTTCACAAACTGATTTAACTTACCACCCCCTTTTCAGGAAATTTTTTTTTCCCTCTCAGTGCCTCTCTGGCAATTACAAACATTTATACCATAGCCCACAATCCAGGATAGAGTGTAAATATCTGTTTTTTCAGGCCTTCCTGGAGGCTCCAGCACTTCGCATGGGGTGGGTATTGTCCACTTTGGGAAACATTGGAGAGGTTGGAGAGGAAATGGGCTTTAATGTGAGACTCTGAACTCTAGCTAGTCAACTCTTTCCTCAAACATCCCTCTATTTCCCTTCGTTATTTCCTGCAGACAGCAGCTCTAAAAAAAAAAATCCCTGATGAAAGGAAAAATTCACAAATTATATTATTAAGAAAAAGAGAATATCATGGATCTTCATTCTCCCTAAAATTTAAAGGCTAATTATACAACTGAGCAATATGAGTATCTAAATATTGCTTAAAGAGTCTTTAAGCATCTTGTATGAATATTCACAATTAGCAATGAAACATCCATAATAATGTTTTCTAGGAGATCGTTTTTCCTCTTAATTAGAAAGTGTTTCCTAAATAAAATGCAATATGTGCAAGATTGTGATGAAATTATTCTCAGCTACATTAAAAATATTCTTCTCTCCAGATTTTGCCTGGCAGTGGATTGTTTTAGATGGTCCTGTGGATCCCTTGTGGGTGGAAAACCTAAACTCCATTCTGGGGGAGAGTAGAACGCTGTGCCTAGCAAACAGTGAGCGAATCACCTTAACGGACAGCATCAAAGTGATTTTTGAAGTGGACAGCCTCTCTCAGGCCAGTCCGACCACCATCGGCTGCTGCGCTATGGTCTATATGGTAAGTGTTCGAAATCAAATGTCCTAAACAATAAAACAGGCTCTTCGGCATAACAACTAGGCATTATCTACAGGATTATTAGGTTTATTTTATTTTGACTTCTGGATCCAGGAAACTGAAGCCAATAGTTCCAGCAGTGAGGCCCCCAAGTCTCGTAGCCCTGAAATAAATCTAAGGATAGTTATTCTTACTTTTACTACTACTCTTGGCAATTGGAGTGGTCAGTCTTCTCCACAACTGTACGTCAGTAATGCTTTCAACAGACAGACAAGGCTGTGGGTGTGAATGTGTTTTTCATCAGCCTTAGGACTAGGGGAAAACATTATAAAGGCAGTGGTGAAGTAACCATATAGACAGTATAAAATTCATGATTAACCAGGAGTGGTACTATACTCTAATTCACTAGTCTTTATTACATTTAATTGAATGTAATAAATGAAATTAACTATAGGGCTGAACCTCTGGATAGGCAGTTTCTCTCCTAATGTACAAAATATCTGCCTACACATAGTTCTCCAATTGCTTGTCTTCTTGTAAAACCACAGTTAAAAATCATCAGTTCTGCCAGTGAACGGTAATTATTTAAGCTGTTTTTAATCACTCTCACTTTAATGAATGATGTTTCTAAGCTATGTTTTTAAGTATTACAAACATTTAGTAAATAGAAAGTAAGAAAGCAAGAGGGAACTATATTTTTATTTATTTGCATCAAATGATCTTTTTATTTTTATTAGGATCCTGTTGATCTGGGATGGGAGCCTTATGTCAAATCATGGCTTTTGAAGACTTCTAAAATTATGAGTCAAGAAGGAGTGAAATGCCTTGAATTTATGATTAAAAGAAGTGTCCCTGATGGGCTGCACTTTCTAAAGAAACATCAGAAATTTCAGCCATTCCCAGTACAGAACTTAACAATTGTCATCACTCTTTGTAGGATTCTTGATGCTTTCTTTGAATTCATGGATAAAAACGGAGGCTTGGGACAAAGTGAGTTTTTCTCCTGAAATCATATTAATGATATTATATCATAACTAGCCAATGCTAATTGGTTATCACTTTCTATTGAATCCTTGGTGTGCTATCGGGCAAGGGTTGGACTTCTACAAGTTTGGTGATTCAAACCCACCCACCAGCTGCGTGGCGAGAGAAAGATGAGGCTCAGCTCCTGTAAAGACTAACAGCCTTAGAAGCCCCATATTGAGTCGCTATGAGTTGGAAAATACCAACAATGAAAGGCCCATGAACTGTGTACTGAAAGAAGGCCAGAGTGTTACTGAGAAGCAGGGATGGCAAGACTTCATCTTGCGTACTTTGACCATGTTGTCAGGAGAGGCCGATCCCGGGAGAAGGGCGTAGTGACTGGTAGAGGAGGCAGCAAAGAGAGGAAGGCTCTCAGTGAGAGGGATGGACACAGTGGCTGGACTCAGGCACAGGCACAATGGTGGGGATGGCACAGGCCCGCGCAGGGCTGTGCATGGGTCGCTATGGGTCAGAACGACTTGATGGCCCCTAACAACAACATGAATTGGAATGGTGTTGATGGCAGTTGATCATATTTTTAAAATCTCACTGCCATCAAGTCCATTCTGAGTTATAGCAGTGACCCTATAAGACAGGGTAGACTTACAAATCAGATTAGACCAGAACACGCACACTGATACAGATAAGTGGCCGCAACACAGGGAAGCCAGGATAGATAAACCCCTCAGGGCCAGCAATGAGAGTAGAGATACCAAGAGGATTAGGGAAGGGTGAGGAGAAAAAGAGGGAATTGATCACAAGGATCGACATATAATCCCCTCCCAGGGGGACGAACAATGAAAAAGTGGGTAAGGGGCAACAGAGGACAATGTAAGATGTGAAAATAATAATCCATAACTTATCAAGGGTTCGTGAGGGAGGGCAGGCGGCAGGGGGAGGGGGAAGAAATGGGGAGCTGATATTAGGGGCTCAAGTGGGAAGAGAATACTTTGAAAATGATAATGGCAGCATATGTGCAAATGTGCTTGACACCATGGATGAATGTATGGATTGTGATAAGAGATATAAGAGCTCCCAATAAAAGTATTTAGTAATAAAAAAAAAATACAGGGTAGAACTGGCTCTCTGGGTTTCTGAGACAGCAAATCTTTACAGGAGTAGAAAGCCTCATCTTTCTACACCAGGGTGGCTGGTGGTTTCGAACTATAGCTATTGTGGGTAGCAGCCCAATGCATAACCTACTTGTTGTTAGGGGCCATCAACAAAAAGAAAAGAAAGAAAAATCCCTTTCTTATTTCTAAGAGATCTTCAGTATAATTGGACCAATGGCACATATGCACATGAAGCAAACTAAAAAGCATGCATAGAAAAAAGGTATTATTAAAAGTAAATTAATATTGTACATCAGTATGGACAAGTCCACAAAAAAGCCTAAGTGTAGAGAATTCTTTAGGGTCTCTGATAAGATGTTGCTTCTATTATAAAAGGATTCTTAGAAAGTGGTGGGAACAAAATCCTAAATTAAGCCCCAAATCCTAAATTGAAGCTGAAAATATGCAAAAGTATAAACATAGTTGTAAAACATTTGCAGGAAGAGATCAACAAATTCAGAAAACAGGGTAACATTATGGCAAATGGCATGGGCTTGAAAGTGCAAATTCTAGCATACAAATATTACTTCTATTTGGTTCCTGATAAGAAGGCAAATTAAATTAGCACAGGCTTTCAACTCTCAAAACCCCAACTTTGATTCTAATAAACTAACTTATAAAGAAAGAAAGACCTAGGACAACACACACAGAAAGGTTAGGTCCCAGTAGGGAAGCAGGAAAAGGGTGTATTGTGTCTACTACTATCAACTGCCTTCGAATCTGAGAGACTAACTGATTGAATAGAGAGTACATGAAGAAAGAGCTAGGCTACATACAGATTAACACCCCATGCTTATCCCACTGCCGCGCTCTATTTCTCATTTACATCCCTTCTTTCCTAACCTTCTAAACGTTGCCCTTGGGTAGCAGATGCCCTTTGGGCTGTCAGTGTTGAGTTCGGTTGCAGAATTTATTCTCTGGATCCCACCATTCTCTATCCCACCAGGAAGTCTGGTCTTTTCTTATGGTCCACATGTTTCTCCCTTTATATCCAGGGTCTGGGAATGCCATCGTTTTCCGAACCGTTGGCAGCCACGCACCATCTAGCTTTTCTGGTCTCAGGATTGTGGAGACGATAATGACATGTTCCTTGGTCCGTTGAACTCACTGTTTCCGTGTGTCCCTCCATTTGTGTCACTCTCCTTTCTTCTGGATGGGGAGAGAGCAATAGCTGCAACTTAGATGGCTATTCGTGGACTTCTTTTTTTCCTGTTAAGTTTTTAAAAGGCCGTTTTATTTCATCTCCTGCCCAGGTGCAAGAGAGAACTGATAAGGCAGACGTGATTAGCACAAATGTTGCTCAGACTAGTCAGCGCAGTCCCAGCACCAGGGGGCATGGAGCATGGGCTAGAGGCAACGCCTGCATGTGTCAGCGATGCTCCCTTATCCAATCGGGTGGTGGCCCCATCTCTTAAGATTTTAACTTCTTTGGAAAGTACAGGCTTCCAGGAGTTCTGTTGGACAGAGAAGAGAGGTAGGACACTGGAAAGTTACCTATATCTCTTAACTGTTCAGTGAATGAACAGTTAGGCATGCTTATGAGCATAGGAGACTCAAGTTGCTATACCACATTAGGATGTAAAGCATTGGCTGTGTGAACTTTGTTATGCCTGTTGACCTTGGTGACCCCCAAGGTTATGGTTCTGATCCCCCCAGGCCTAGCAACTCATTCTTTCAAGGTGTTCAGTTTATGAAGCTTTTGTGCCTTTTTCTGCTATATGCTCCATTACATTTATGGATATATTTACAGTCAAGGTGAATGCACACACACAGATATCTTCTGTCAAGATATACTCATGGGTATACTCCCACTCTCCATCCCCCACTGGTTCAGCTGCATGTCTAGCCAAGCATCGGCTCGTAGGCCCCACTGTTCCAGGGTTGTGTGATCATGGTATCTCCCTTCCAGGTAAGTATACAGGGTTGCGTACGTACCACTCTTGCCAAGCTCCCAGAGCTTTGCTTTGCCTTCATCATTTTTTCCCTCACCTTCCTCCTAGTTCCTCCTCACCCAAGTTAACACTTGCCTACCCTCTAACCCATGATTTCTCCTCCTTCTGTTCCCCTCCCACACCTGGTAGTCATCAAATAGCATTTCTTTTAGTGTGCAAATCTTTTATGGATTGTTTTTTAATGATGGTCTCATAGAATATTTTGTCCTTTTGTGCTTCAAATAATTTCATTCAGAATACTCATTCATATTATGAGTTGTTTCACCAATTCATCATTATTCTTTAACAGTGCTTCGTATTCCAGTGTGTGCAAATACCAACTTTCATTTATCCATTCTTCCACTGCCGGGCATTTGGATTGCTGCTAGGCGTGTTGCTTGTTTGCTTCCTTTGGTTTTATTGCAAATGTGCTGCGATGCATATTGGTGTGCAGCTGTCTATTTGTGTGGTGTTCTCGTTTCTCTGGGGCATTTGATGAGTAGAGGGATTGCCGAGTCCTATGCTATTTCTTTCCAAATTTTGGAGGAACCCCTTAGGGTTTTCCAAAGTGCTTTCACTGTTTTATAGTCCCACAATGAGTGTATGAAGTTCTAGTGTTTTGTTTCTAATCTCTCTGTTGAAAGAGTCTAACTACCTCTTTTTAAAAGTCCTTATCATATACTTTAAATGCCTTTAATTTCTGAGAAAGGTCTTCGAGTTCTGCCTATTGGTCACTTGTTGAGTTACTCTGTCTTGTTTCTTTGTGCTAACTGTTGTCTCCAAAGCATCGTAGTGGTGTTGTACTTGTATCTAACTTGTGATTATATGTTTGTAAGATGTTATCCTCTCACCACCCTGGTGGGTTTAATAGAGAACCCGATTGTGTACAGAATTCTCAGTTTGCTCCTCATATAGCAGAGTCTGGGGGAAAAAATAGCAGAAAAACACAATAGCAAATAATTTAATACCTATAAGGGAAAGGAAAGTAAAAACAAGGGAAGAAAAGAGTGTAAGAAAAACACAATAACCAAAGTTTGGTAGGGTAGTAGAGAAAAAAAAGAGAAAGGTAAAAGAGAATAGTAAAGAAAAAATTAAGAGAGTGAATAAGAAAGAAAAATAAGGAAAGTGAAGAGGAATTGAAGCAAATAAAAGGAAGAGAGAAGGGAAAAATAAGTGAAAGCAAAGAAAGGGGGGAAAAGAATCAAATAAAGGAGAAAACAGTATATGCCTTCTGTCAACTAACGAGCCCATGATCGTCTGGGGTTGAGAGTTCGGGGCACCCAGTCCAAGGCATCGTCTGCATGCCTCAAAAGTGTCTACAGTCTGGCCACCTGATGTGGAAGGATTTAATGTGGACTCAATGGGAGACTGGGGTGAGGGTTCCTGTGTTAGACTGGTCATGTTGTCTAAAGAAATAAATCCAATGATGCTCATTTATGTATAAAAAGGGGCTTTGTGGCCATCTAGCAGAGAAGCAACAAAGCCCACATGGAAGAAGCACACCAGCCAGGGTGATTCATGGGCCATACTTGTCAAACATCTATTTAACTCACCCCTAATGCGATAGCATGGAGCCCTGGTGGTATAGTGGTTAGGCAATGGGCCACTAACCACAAGATCAGCAGTTTTAAACCACCAGCCAGCTCTGCAGGAGAAAGACGAGGCTTTCTACACCCATAAAGAGTTACAGTCTTGGAAACTCACAGGGGCAGCTCTATGTTGTCCTGTAGGGTCACTATGAGTCAGCATCAACTCCATGACAGTGAGTTTGGTTTGGTTTTTAATATGATGGCTGGGATACTTCTCTCTCTCTCTCTCTCTCTCTCTCTCATTTGAGCTACTTCTCTGTGGTGAGGCACTAGCTGGTATTTATTTTTTCACTTGCACGTGATATTGATATCGCACGCAAATAAAAATGTACTAAAGCTCATTCAACAATGGTTGCAGCAGCACATTGACAGTGAGCTTCCAGAGGTTCAGATCAGATTCAGAAGAGGACATGGAACAAGAGATATCATTGCTGATGTCAGATGAACCATGGCTGAAAGCAGAGAATACAAAAAGATGTTTTCTTGTGTTTCATTGACCATGCCAAGTCATTTGACTGTGTGGACCATGACAGACTATGGAAAGCCGTGGGAAGAAGAGGAAAGCCAGAGCACTTCATTGTGTTCATTCGGAACGTGTACATAGACCAAGAAGCAGTTGTGCTAACAGAGCAAGGCAATACTGCCTGCTTTGAAATCAAGAAAAGTGTTCTTCGAGGCTTTATCTTCTCACCATACTTCCTCAGTCTGTCTGCTGAGCAAGTCATCAGGGAAGCTGGGTTATATGAAGAAGAATGCCGCATCAGGATTTGGAGGAACCTGCACCATGCTGATGACACAGCAGGCTTGCTGAAACTGCAGAGGACTTGAAGCACTTGCTGATGAAGATCAAGATACCAGGAGGGAGGAGGGAAGGGGGTAGGAAGGGGGAACCGATTACCAGGATCTACATATAACCTCCTCTCTGGGGGATGGACAACAGAAAAGTGGGTAAAAGGAGCCGTCGGGCAGTGTAAGATATGATAAAATAATAATTTATAAATTATCAAGGGTTCATGAGGGAGGGGGAAGTGGCGAGGGAGGGGGAAGGAAAAGAAAAATGAGGAACTGATTCCAAGAGCCAAGAGGAAAGCAAATGTTTTGAGAATGATGAGGGCAACGAATGTATAAGTGTGCTTTACACAATTGACGTATGTATGGATTGTGATGAGTTGTATGAGCCCCCAATAAAATGATTTTTAAAAAATTGCAGCTCTCAGTACTGATAAAGAAGACTCAAATTCTCACAACAGGACCAATAGGTAACATCAAGAAAATGAGAAAAGCTTGAAGGTGTCAAAGATTTCATCTTGCTTGGATCCATAGTCAATGCTCATGGAAGCAGCAGTAAATCTACTACACAAGACCTTTTTAATTGAAAAGCAAGGATGTTACTATGAGGACTAAGATGTGCCTGACCCAAACCATGGTATTTTCTATTTCCTTATATACATGTGAAAGTTGGACATTGAATAAGGAAGACCGAAGATGAACTGATGTCTTAAAATTGCGGTGCTGGCAAAGAATATTAAAAGTATCATGAACTGCTACAGGGACAAATAAATGTGTCTTAGAAGAAGTACAGCAAACACACAAGCAAACAAAAGTACAGCCAGAGCGCTCCTTAGAGGCAAGGATAGCGAGACATTATCTCCCATACTTTGGACATGTTGTTGGAGAGACCAGTCCCTGGAGTAGGACATCATGCTTTGTCAAGTAGAGGGGCAGCAGAGAGAGGCAGGCCCTCGATGAGTTAAATTGAAACAGTGGCTGCAACACTGGACTCACGCATAGGAATCATGGTGAAAATGGCGCGGTCCTGGGCAGTGCTTCATCCTGCTGCTCCCAGCGCTGCTCTGAATTGAAACCAACTTCATGGCACCTAACAACAACTTTGGGCCCATGGATTGGGCATTCCCCACCTCTGTATGTAGTCGTTGAAAATAATGGGAAAGGATTCAGAAGGTTAGGGAAGAGCCTCAAATAAGAGACAGAAGTACAAGTCTCTTTCACAGATGCAAACGGCTGGCCTCTACTTTATCGGCTGCTCACTAAAAACTCACTGCCCGTTGAGTCCATTCGAACCACGATGACCGTGTGGGACAGGGTAGAACTGTGGGATTCTGAGATTGTAATCCTCCATGGGAGTGGAGAGCTCTTGAGGAGTACCTGTGGGTTTTGAAATACCTTCAGGTTAGCAGCCCACCAAGTAACCCACTATGCCACCAGGGCTCTGGGCTTTCATTTTAAAAGATTGTTGGTAAATGTTTGGTATTTTGTGGTCATTTACATCTGATGAACACAATTTTGGTTGTACTGGGTCCGAGTAATAGAGCCTGAGCTACATTTAATGTTGGTGTGTTGTTTTAATTAGTAGTCTCTATTTTAGCTCTCTACGTTCTTAGATGGTAGCCTTGGTGGTGTAGTGGTTACGCGTTGGACTGCTGTCCGCTGGGTCAGCAGGTTCAAACTACCAGCCACTCCTCAAGAAAAAGAGGAGACTTTCTACTCCCATGAAGAGCTCCAGTCTTGGAACCCTACAGAGGCAGTTCTACCCTATCCTGGAGGGTGGCTCTGGGTTGGAAATGACTCGATGACACTGTGAAGTACTGATACCCTTTACAATGGCTACTCGGAACACACAGGCAGAATGCGGGATGAAGATCAAGAATTAGCGTTAATGAAGGAAATGGATAGATAAATTGCGATGCAAGTGAGAGATGCTCAGGGTACAGTTGTTTACAGGTATAACAGGACATGTTACAAAGTTCTTTCACCGTTGCTTTAAATGCCCAAAGAGACATATGTGTAAGCGTCACTGGTTCTGTTTCTCAAGAGGACTCCACCCAGACCACGGATGTTCAGCAAAATGTTACTTGCGTGTGATATTAATGATATTGTTTGATCGTTTTCACTTTCCATTCTGCCTTCCAAATTCCCTGGCAGAGACAAGCAAGTGCTTCCAGTGCTTCATCAGGCTGATCCCTCCAAAATGGACAGCCCATTCCTTCTTCGTAGTCTGTTCTTTTCCACAGTCTGGAAACCCCATGGAAAATGTTTCACCTTGAGGGACCCTGCTGACATTTGAAATACCTGTAACATCCCTTCCAGCGTCACAGCAACATGCGTGCCAACACAGTGTGACAAACTGACAGAAGAGTTAGTTGACTATGTGCACTATGTTTTGGAGATAGTCACCTGAATGTTTTAAACTTTTCTTTTGGCTTGAAACTATTTAAAATTTATGAAATAAACTAGATGAAATAAAAAGTATGTAGTTTTATATCTCAAATAAATAAAAATCCATTCAAGCACTTCTAGGAACATTCTGTGTTCATCGTTTGCTTGGAAAAGTAATTTCCACTGTTGTCTGGCAAGGGAATGCTGCGGAACTGACTATAAACAAAGAAATTCTCCTCTGTTAATTCACAAATTAAACAATGTTAGAAACAGGCTTTAATAGTTAATCAGGGAAATGGTAATTATAATGTTAATTATAATTATAATGTTAATAATAGAAAATACCCTTTCTCTTTAAGATGATGATTCTAAAGACATTTCAACTGTGAACACATCTACTTCAAAATCAAAAGTCAAATTCAAGGTTACACCAAACAAGTAAGTTCATTTTATCCACCAAATACATATGTTTTAGTACCTATGAGGTGCCGGGCATACAACTAGTCACAGAATTACTTGTCGGTGACCCAACACTTAAACAATAGACATTACATATACAAATATATTTGTCTAGACTCTATACATATTTGAGAAAGGAATAAAATTGACATGAATTTACTTCATGTATCATTTATGAACTGTGAAATGTGGCGCAAGTTACTAAATTTTTTTTAGCTTTTATTTGCTTATTTATAAAACTGAAATAATAATGTTGTCTAGCATAGTGCCTGGGATGTCTCGCATAGTGCCTGGGATATAGTAAGTGCTCATTAAATTATTGATGTGAAAATTATTCTGTATTTCTTCTGCTGCTTTGTTCAACAGGTCAGTCATTTGTTTAGGACTTCCTACATACCATTATGAATCCCTGAGACATACATGTCACCTTTGTTTTTGAATTTTACAGCATTTCTACCCTACTTGCCAACTACGACTTCAAATCCGTTCACTCCTGTACATCTGAGTAGCGCCAGCATAGCTCACCAATTTCTTGTTTATGCCATTGCCATAATCTCCTAAGTGAGATTACTTCCAAAGGGTAATCTTTAGTCTTATGGGAAACAAGATTAATTTTATTCAATTGTGAATGCCATAAAAATAATTGTGTAAAATATAAGATGACACACTCCACAGTCATATCAAAGTATATTATTTAATCTTTGAAGTCTTCCATTGGCCATACTAAACTTTATACAATTCTATCCTCTGAAATAACCTTTATCCTGAATTTTGCATGTATTAATACATTTCTATGTTTAGTATTGCATGCTTTTGAACTTTAAATTTATACACTCATTCTGTAGGCCCTTTTACCACTTTCATATTTTGCTCAGCATGTAGCTGAGCTTCATCCATTTTCACTGCTCTCTTGTATTCCATTATAAAAATATATCACTATTTTTCCTCCTCATCATTTCTTATCCCTGTCGGCGTCTGGTTACAAATCAGGCTGTGATCCACCAAGTCAGCCGTGTTAAACCGCCAGCCTCCTCCTCCCACAAAGAGCTACAGTCTGGGTTACAGCTCACAGGGCACTTGCACCCTGTCCGAAGGGTTGTTATGGGTTGGCATCGACTACATGGCAGTGAGTTGGAGTTTCGTTTTTGTTTTTTAGTATTGATAAGCATTTTAGCTTATTTTCAGGATTTTGTTCTGCCTTTTGCTATTGCAAGTAATATTGTGATTTCTATGATTGTCTCCTTGTATATATATATATATACACATATACAAGAATTTGATCTTTTCAAAACATGAACTAGAATACCCTTTTTTCTCTTAATGAATAGCCACTGAATGATTTCTCATTTCACTAAGAGTGAAAAGAATTGAAACAGTTTTAAACCCCTACCTCCCTCACCAAGTTCATCTGTCAGTATAGCAATGCCCACCCACCCCGTATTCCTTCTGCTCGACATGCTCTTTCTCCTACACTTTGCTAGATCTCCCGCATTCTTCATGTACCAAATTAACTGCTACTTATTCGGAGATCTCAAACTCACTGCCATGCCGTGGAATCCATGTCGACTCCTAGTGACTCTTGACAACAGAGTAATGCAGACACCCTGGTGAGTTTCCGAGACGGACACTCTTTTGAGAGTAGAAAGCCTTGGGTTTGTTGTTTGTTTGTTTTCCTCCCACAGAGTAGCTGGTGGTTTCAAGCTGTGGACCTTGGGGTTCATGACCCAACCCTTAACCACTATGCTATTGCTCCACAGGAGTCCTGGTGGCATAATGTTTATGCGATAGGCTGAACAGTTCTACCCTGTCCTATAGGGTCACTATGAGTTAACATAGACTCAATGGCAGTGGGTTTTTTGAGTTTTATTCAAAGGTAAGGTGCCCTGGTGACATGTTCAGGTAAGCATTAGACTGCTAACTACAAGGACAAGGGTTCAAACCCACCAGCCCTTCCCAGGGTAAATGATGAGTCTGTCTGCTTCCATAATGATTCACAACCTCAGGAATCCTAGTTGCTATGAGTTGGAATCAACTTGGTGGCCATGAATTATTCCAGAGATAAGAGTATTTTTTTCTCCCACAATCTAAATTAATTGTCCCTAGTACTATTTTTCATTATACTCTTGGCTTAGCTTTTTGTTGTTGTTGTTCTGGGGGACAGTACTCATGTACTTTGTTTAAAGTAATGAATATATAGTAAGTATTTAATTAATACTTGCTCAATTCTGTAAATAGTAGAAATTGACTGGGAATGGAATGCTGCACATACATTATACATACATTGATTGCAAATCAATTCTAATTCAATAATGAAGACAGAATAGATCATTGCTTCCTTACATATTTTTACATAAATTGGCATTAGATCTTTTCCCCAGATTCAAAACTAAGTCCACGGTGATCAAGTTGATTCTGGCTTACGGAGACCCTCTCGGACAGAGTAGAACTGCTTCCAAGAGTTCCAAGACTGTAAGTCCTGACAGGAGCCAGAGCTCCCCCCCCCTGGGGTGACTGGTGGGCTTTAACCACCCACCTTTCTGATCGCCAGCCCAGTGCTGTAAGCCTATGTAAAAGTCAGTCCGTTTATAAATTGACTTAACATAAAAGGTTGACTACATATTTTTTAACATAAGTTACTTGAAAATTGAAAATAGTAGCAATGTGTACTTTATGACCATTATCAAAAGAGAAATCATACATTAGTTCTATAACTTTCATGTCAGTCCTTAATTATATTAGAGTTTTTATTAATAAAATCTGGCATGATACTGAAATGAGTTCATGAATTATTTTATGAATGTTTTCATTTGTTCCCTTCCACACTTATTACCCCAGGGCTGAAAATGCATGGTATCTGGAGAAAAACCCTGACAAATTAACAATCATGATTCAGAAGCTTTTTGTGTTTGCGTTTACTTGGGCATTTGGAGGGACATTAAGACGTGAAGATGAACATGAAGATGACATACTATTTAGTGCAAGTTTTGAGCCTGATTCTCTTGCAAAAGTCACATATGATTTTGACAAGCTTGTGCGTGAATTATTTGAAAACAGTTTACAAGAAGGTAAGCTAAAAACAGTCATACTTTGTTTACTTTAAAATACTAACTAAAAACTCTTCATGGTTATAAAGAAGTATGTTGATTAGATACATATTTTAAAATGTAAGGATTCAGAGTAAAAGAAGCTAATAAATATACTTGAACACTCTCCCTTTACTTTCAGTAGACTAAGGAAATTATTTTAACTGGCTATTATTGATTAAAGGAACTTTGAACAGATAAAATTATGGTAAATGAAGGTACCAAAAAGAGACAGAATATTGAACATGAATGCGAATATATTTAGAAAAACTTTGTAGATAAAAGTGAGAGTTAAAATGTTTTCCAAAAATCCAAATCCTACCAGTTTTATGTAACTCTTAACATTGTTTTGTTTTTGGTGAAGTTATGTGGAAAGGGTTCCATCTAAGACATCAGGATGGGAAAAGGCTTTGTGTTATATTTATATGGAAATTAAATTTTAATTTCAAAGCATGGCATGTTAACTTATTTTTGAAGCCTGTGAATCAACTTATGACTCCAACTCGAAGAGGAAAATAAATTGCTTTAATTTTATTAGCCATAGATACCTCACATGTACATTTCTTCTCCCTGTCTGCCTGTTATTAATTATTCATGCTGTTAGATTGTTTATTTCAAAATATTGGCTGTGAGAGGCTGTTTCATCAACTGAAATACCAAAATAAACCCTAATTTAAGGCAGGAGCTTAGGAAGGGAAGGATAGGGAAGTGGCAACAATAGTCAACTAAAAATCCATCAGATTAGGAATGAGAAAGAGTAGGGGTGAAGCATCAAATAATGCCTCATTCATAATGAGTTTGAAAACAAAAGTATCAAAAACGTATTAAGAAAACTGTTCCTAAGGTAGTATGGCCATAAAATCATCTATCTTATTGTTAATCATTCCAGGTGGAATTATTATAACTTAATAACAATTTTTTAATTATATTCAGGGTTCTCAAAGCAGTAAAGGAGGGAGCAATATCCATTTTAAAATAAATAAGAAACTATGGGACAAAAACAAGCAGAAAATGAAAAGAGAAGTTATGGCTATAAAAAATAGACCTTTTAGAAATGCAAAATGTAGTCATTTAAATAGAAATTGTAATATAGTGACCGTCAGCAGTTAGGCTTGGGAGGAGGGTCTGAGCACAAATATATCACAGTAGGAAAATCTTTAGGCTATTGAAAGTGTTCTGTGCTCTACCTATAATATTGGTCAGAAGAATCCATTCATGTGGATAAAAATCATAGACCTATACAGCCCCTGAAAAAGTGACCATTACTTTAATGGTCAGAAAACATATCAAATATTATCTGTGTATGGTGAAGTCATGTTTAAATTTTTTTCACTTTGATTATTCTTTATTTTCCAAAATGTTCCCAAGAGAATGTACTTGAACAATGGAAATATAAATGTTATTAGCAGTTCCTCATAAGTGTCCAGTGTACTGCTTTGACGGCAACCAATGTATTATGAGCATTTGACAGAGAAAATACATGACACTAAGCAGGAATTCTGAATTACATTTCAAAGGATATCGAATTATGACTTACCGTGCAACTGAAAATGAAAGGAAGGAAAAGTCACCTAAATTTTCAAAGTGCATACTTAAGACAGACTCTTTTTTCTAGCTAACCAAAACTATTGTTCAGTTTTAAGAAGATTTAAGGGGATATTTTAATTTAAGCTTTAAAGATTACCTCGGGACAGTAATTTCAGGGATTCGTGCAGTTTCCAGGCCTCCAAAAAGCCTAGAGTTTGTGAACATTTGAGATTTCCCCTTTTGATCAGGATTCTTCAATAGAACCTTGGATCAAAATGCATATGGGCACCAACCAGCTCTGTTTTCATGGCAAATGAGGCAATTGTTCAAAGAGACAATTAGCCTCGTTTTTAGGTAAATCAATTGCCATGTCCCATGAACAGTTATCTATATGGGATTGAGAAAAAATTGATAACAGCAACTCAAAGGAATAGCTAGTAACGAGAGGAGTCCGTTGTGTTTAGGTTAGTAAGAGAGGAAGAACTCAGAAAAGTAGGGTCACAATGGTTGACAACTCAAAAAATGTCATTGTCAATACTAAATATATAGAAACCATTTAATTAATGTAAGCTTTGCTGTGTATATTCTCAGAAACAACAAAGCAAATAAACTGGGAAGGGAGGAAATTCAGTCTTAAACAACTTGGTATTATTGGGAAAAAGGATAGACTTATTTTAATATATTCATTTATATCCTTGGCAAGAACTTATTACTTCTGGTTCAACAATTAAATCATTCAAATCATGTAGTTCTTTATATATTCCATATTTTAAAAAATAATTAGGACTTCTTTATCATTCTCAAATGTAGGCATCAAATTACCAACTGGTGATCGTTCAATCTTTGGGTATTTTGTGGATATACAGCAATGTGAATTCACAGCGTGGTCAGAATTAGTTCCTACTACTCAGGCCCTAGTTCAAAGAGGTAAGAATAATTATACGTATCACACTCTAGCTTCCCTGGAAAATTAGGAACATTCTATTGATATGTAAAGATAAGCCAAAAATCATGAAGCTAGATATATTCCAACATTGTCTTTAGATCTGTTTATTTTTAAGTACCTTTTAAAATAATTTTTGAATATTGCTATCTGAGAAAATTGATGAAGTCAGATATACAATGTAAAACTATAATGCATTGAAAGTCTTCAACTGAAAGGAAACTTTTAAATAAAGTGTGACTTTTAATGGGAGAAAAAAAGAGGACCTCTAAAATAGCAAAAACATTTGCATGAGAACTTAGACTTGGTTATAAAAGTAACTACTAATGAGAAAATTATAATAATTTGACCAAAACATATATATCCAAAATTGCTTTTATCTTCCGTTTTCTGCATCTACATATAGAAGAAAAAATACAGAAACCTAAATGGTGAGGACCTCATATCAGGGAGGCTGAACACTAATCAGAGAACCTAAGGTCTATGGTCCTGGGTAGACACTTCAAATAGCTTTCTACCCAACCTTTGGTGAACCGTGCTGTGTAAAGCAACACCTCATGGATTGCAGCTCACCATTGGACTATACTCGCTTAAACTCCTAATACCAACAATACCTTTAATTCTGTGTCATTGTATATATTACTGATGTTATCAAAGCAATCGCCTTATGCCCCAGGGGGATAAGCGACAATGTTTTTCTTTTTTAGTTTATTGTGTTATGGTTTTCCTTTTGTTTTTGTCTTTTTCGTTTGTTTGTTTCTTTCTTTTTGTTGTTGTTTTATTGTTGTTGTTGTTGTTGTTAATCTTGTTGATTCTGGTTTTTTTCATTGCTTTTGTCATAATATGACCGCCAAAGTAAACCAGAGTCATTCATAACACAAGGACAAGCAGATGTATTCTGGGCTCGCACCTAGTTCTACCCCTAATCCAAGAATAGTTACTTTGTATAACATGGCCTTGCTGAATACTTGCCTTCATGAAGAGATCACTGAAGATCATGATGCTACAGCAAGTGTGGTGAAGAAAGCAGATGGTGCCCGGCTATCAATTGGAATAGTGTCTGGGGTCTTAAAGGCTTGTATTCAAACAAGCAGCCAAACAAGTGAGGTTCAACTAAGCCCAGACAGAAGAAGCATACCAGCCTGGGTGATCCAAAGATGACAATAACAAAATCTAAATATGATGAAGGGGCAAGTATCGGAGCTTAAATTGTGAGCACCTCATTTGTAGAAGACCTTAGAAGATGGTGGGAACCCAAAATCTATCTGCAGAGTGGCTGGTCAGATTGAGCTTTGGCAGATCCTCCCTAGTCACAGGTGGGGGATTCAAACAGCTTTACAACCAGGCAGAGAGTATAGTAAATTTGATTAAGGTTGATCAAACCATGGTATAATATGATACTTGGTCTGTTGACCTCCTTCTTAACCGAATCTAAATTTGCTCTATGCTCAAATATTTCTTGATTGTTCCAAGAAAGAAATTTCTTCTCTGGCTTTTAAAATATTGTTGGTGTTGTTTTCTGTCTTACTCTTTATTTTTATCTTTATATTGTTGTTGTTTTCTTCTTTCTGTTTTGTTTGCTTTGTTTTTGTTTCTTATTGTTTCTGTTAGATCTCCCAGTTTAGGAAGCACAGAAGGAGTGGGTTCATAACTGATGTAACAGTTTATCAGGAAGGGGCTGGCTGGGGAAGGATGGAGAGAATTGGGGAGTGTTCAGTGGATGAGAGATGAAAGAGAGAGGGATGGATGGAGGGAGGGAGGGCTAGAGCTGATTTGATGATGTATATACAACTCTTTCTGGAAGTGGTTTACCTATTGAAGTATGTGATATGTGAATATCATTTCAAGAAAACTACTGAAAAATGAAAAGGAAACCAAAGTGGACCAATGGTTACCATGGGTGAAGGAGGAAGAGCTTTTGCTTAGGGGACACTGAGTTCATTTTAATGCCAGTGGGACAACTTGGAGAGGGATGACAATAATGTTTGTACAACATGAAGAGTATAATCAATGGCCCTGGATTATACATGTAGAACTTGTTGAAAATACAAAACCTTGTTGCACTTTGAGAGCTTGTATAAGCTTGTTGCAGGAACTTGTAAAGCTTTGGATTGAGTTCTTACACATTTTGGAAATTTAATAAATGCAAACTGAATTAGATTGCTTTGAAATCAAGTTCCTTGTATCAAAAAAAGATTGAAACCCACTTGCAAGAGTTTCTGATAGAAAATAACCAGTGATATTAGAATCATGAAGCATTTAGAAACTTTTAACACCAAACGAGTTTGAAATACCAAAATTATATCGGACAACAATTTGTTACAATATTAATGAGTAAGTGTATTTGCTTAAAATCATATAACATATGAGGCTAGTACTAGCTTGGAGTCATTTTGATTCTTAGCTTTTATCAGTATGTACAAAAAAAACATAACTGACTATAAATATACAACGTGAATCTTGGTGTACCACTCTCACAAGTAACCAAAGGTGTTTTCTCCAAATCTAAGGCATTACTTTCTCTGGTCACAATTTTCTGTAATTGCAGGCAAAGGTCTAAGAAAAAATTAAAACCTTTCCAAGATTAAAAACTCAAACCTACAGCAAGAATCTAAATGTGACAATTGTCACATTAAAGTAAGCTGCAACATGAGAGATTTTTTTTTTACATCCAAGAAAATGCCTCCCAAAAAAACCCTTTGTGATCAAGTAGGATTTTTTTCTATGATGTTTTTTATTTAAAAAGAGTGATCATAATTATATTATACATCTTCATAATGTATTTTGAAGGATACCCAACGTTCATTAAGTAATTGATTCATTTCAGACATATTAGGGAGGCAATGTTCTAAAGTTGCGCTTAAACATAAAGAATTGACTCATAATGATAGAAATACAACTCAGATACCATTTCTTACCTATAGCTAGTACTTACAAGGATCAAAAAGTCTGATACATTTTCAGGAAAGGGACTGTTTTAGAGTTTAAATTCTAAACATCTGGTTTTCAGAAAATTATGGATGACAACGAAACCCCAAAATCCATTTACACAGTCCTCACATGGATTACGAGTCCCCTTTGACCATTGACTAGGGATGTGAGTAGCATTTCTATCAGACAGAGCCTACTGGAAAGTGGATTTTTTTTAACCATTTTATTAGGGGCTCATACAATTCCCATCACAGTCCATACATACATCCATTGTGTCAAGCACATATGTACACTTGTTTCCATCATCATTTTCAAAACACCTCCTTGCTCTTCAATACTCGAGAGGTCTTCTGAAGCAGATTTATCTAATGCAATGTGTTATTTGATATCTTGACTGCTGCTTCCATGAACATTGATTGTGGATCCAAGTAAGACAACTTAGAAAACTTCAGCCTTTCACCGTTTATCATGATGTTACGTATTGGTTCAGTTGTGAGGATTGAGTTGTAATCCATACTGAAGGCTACAGTCCTTGATCTTAGTCATCAAATGATTCCATTCTTCCTCACTTTCAGCAAGCAAATTTGTGTCATCTGCATACTGCAGGTTGTTAGTAAGCCTTCTTCCAGTCCTGATGCTGTCCACTTCAGATAACCCAGCTTCTCTGATGATGGAACAAGTATGGTGAGAGGCTACAACCCTGATGCACACCTTTTCCAAATTTAAACCATGCAGTATTATTTGTTCTGTTTACTCAACTGCCTCTTGATCTACCTACCAGTTCTGAAGGAGCACAATGAAGTGTTCTGGAGTTTCCATTCTTCTGAAGGTCATCCACAGTTTATTATGACCCACACAATTGAATGCTTTCGCATAGTCAATAAAACACAAGTAAGCATCCTTTTGGTATTCTCTGCTTTGAGCAAAGATCCATCTGACATCAGTAATTAATATCCCTTGTTCCACATCCTCTTCTGAAGCCAGCATGACATCTGGCAGCTTCCTGTTAGAAGTTCCTATTAGAAGTTTAAAGAAAATGTATAATAATTTTTAAAATTATCGCCATAACCTTACCTTTTCCTATACAGGTGTTATTTCTCTCTTCAAAATTCTGGTCATATATGCACTTATATGACCCTTCCATATTCATACATTGATGGGAACATGTGCCATACACCGAACATTCATTAAGGTCTGGAAGAGAAAAAAACTGAAAATAGTATTATTGTACTCCAATAAATGCTTACATTTCTTTCATATTTCCAAAAAGCCCATTTCTTAATTCCTTCAACTTGTTTTTAGTAGTTCGTTCATACTTTTAAGTTAGAAATTGCTTTATAATGTACTAACATCATAATAATTCATCTATTGATTTTAAACTGCTTGTTAATCTATTTAAATCATTAAGATATACACATCGGTTTAAAAAACTACTCAAGTGTTGAAAAGGCCTTGGCTGGAGAATGTCTTCGCTGGTCTTTCAGAAGGGAGGGGATGCTCACATGTCAGGGCTTGGAGGAGGAAAGTGGCGGCTTTGAGACGGTAGATTGGGGGTGAGCAATGAGTTCACCACTTTGAAGTGTGTGTGAGAGGCACAAGATCTAAGATCAGCAGATCAGGCACTTGCAACAATTTTACCTGTATGATTAAAGAGGCCTGGTGATATAATGGGTGTGGGTTAGACTGCTAATCTCAAGGTCATCAGTTCAAAACCACTAGGTATTCCTTGGGAGAAATATGAGGCTTTTTATTCCCATAAAAATTCAGTCTCAGAAACTCACAGGTAAGTGTTACCCTGTCCTAGATGGTTGCTATGAGTCAGAATTGAGTCGATGGCAGTGTTTGGTGTCGGTTTGCTCTGTCATCAAATTGTTTCATAGTGTATGCTCTTTCGAAAAATATTGAATACTTAATATGTATTCCTATGTCCTTTGAAACTTTCTTTTTAATTTAACTTAGGAACTTCATTACTAACTGACCCTCAAGGATCCAATGAAAACCTCTTGAAGATAACAGAGTGTGGAGAGTACATTAATCACACTGCGACCAGAGATACAATGTGCCTTTCTTTTCTCAGCAGTCTTCTGTTAAAGAATTCCTACCCCGTACTTCTCACAGGTATTAAAAACATTCACGGAAAATGTTCAGACCCAGGAGGAGGGTTGCTTATCCAGTCTTCACTTATAGTGTGTGTGTATGTATGTATATGTATGTATGTATGTATGTGTGTATGTATATATGTGTGTATGTATATGTGTGTATATGTATATATATATAGAGAGAGACAGACAGACAGACAGACAGTATCTAGGAAACCCACAGGGGCAGTTCTACCCAGTCCTGTAGGGTCTGTTTTCTACCTAAATGCAGTCCTTAACCTTAGACACAAGTTCTACCACCACTCTTCATTCCCATCCCAGACTTCAGTCTTCCCTATCCCTGTTTTAAATGCAAAAAATAAATAAATCACTTGAGTTTATATTTCATCTTTTCCAATTTTAGGAGATAAATTTACAAAAATAGCTGGTTGCTACTTGTAAGTTCCTCATATGAGCAATAATACAAAAGTAAGGTTGAAACCCAAATTAATAGACAATTTGTTTTCTGTTCTTTGAATAGAAAGCTATGAGAAATACATTTTTTAAGGGTTGACCATCAGAATTGGAAATAATCAAAATTAAGCTCATTAAATTGTAGGGTCAGTTTCCCCCCTTACCCTCTCAATATACTCCCTTTCATCATTCTAATAGGTGATAGAAAAAGTTTAGGCTAGCAAATGGAATAGTATCTGGGGTCTTAACGGCTTGTATTCAAGCAAGCAGCCATCTAAGTGAGGCGTCAACTAAGTCCACATGGTAGAAACTCACCAGCCTGTGTGAACCAAAGATGACAATAACAAAATCCAAATATGATGAAGGGGAAAGTATCAGAGTTTACATTGAGAATACCAATTTTCAGAAGGCTACGGATGACAATGGGAGCCCAAAATCCATCTGCAGAGTACCTAGTCAGATTAAGCTTCTGGCACATCCCCTCTGGCCACAGTAAGAGACATGCACAGCTTTGCTATCAGACACAGATTATTGAAAACTTGATTATGATGGGTTGAGCCATGATATGATACAGGGTCAGATGACCTCCCTCTTGATCCAACCTGAATTTGCTCTAGGTTTAAATATTTCTTGCTTGTTCCACAACAGAGATGTTCTGTCGTGCCTTTTTTTTTTAATATTGCTGGTGGTCTTTTCTTTTTGTTTTTATCTTTTTTTTTTCTTTCTGTTTCATTTTGGTTTTTTATTGTTTATCTTAGGTTTCCCAGGTTATGAAGCACAGAAGTAGAGGATGCATAGAGACAATAAAGGATGCAGTCCTTTATCAGGGATGGGGTGGGGAAAGGGTAAGGGGAATTGGGGAGAAAATAATGAATTCAGTAGAGTGGGAGGGAGCACTAGAAGTGATTGTGATGATGTGTATACAACTCTTTTTAAAAGCAACTTAACTATGGAAGTATATGCTATGTGACTTTTATATCAATAAAACTATTTTAAAATGAATTTTTTAAAAGAAAAAGTTTAGGCTTTAAATTCATACAAACACTTCCTGTTTTGACTTCTAGTTCAGCCATTTACTAGTTGTGTGTCCATAGAGAAGTAAGTTAACTGGTGGCATCTATGAGGTTGGTGTCACCCAGTGCAGTAATTCACAACGTCTCCTCCCCTCCCATGGACTTCCTCCTGTATTTTGCTAGTCCAGGTAGACTAAAGAAACAAACTCATAGAGACATATATGTGTATAAGAGAGGGTTTTATATACAGGCTAATTGTACATTAATAAAGTACCCCAAATCAGTCCAAATCAAGTCCATAAGTCCGATATTAGCCCATATGTTCCGATACTAATCTATAAAGTCATCTTCAGGCTCACAAAACAAATGCAATGATGCCGAACGCAGGAAGATCACACTCCAGTAGGTTGGAAGTCTTCTGGATCCAGTGGTGTTGTAAGCATCTCAGTCCTGGCTTCTCCAGTTCCCAGGGCTGCATCAGGGTACATCCATGAAGCTTCTCCTCAGAGATGTCTCTCAGAAAGTTAGCCTTTTCAGTAGAGTGTCTCCAAGGGAGTGAGCAGAGAGAGATCGTGTCTCCTGCCTCTAAGGAGGAAATACAGGAGTACCCAGAACTCTCAGGGGAAGGCCAGGCCCACACAGAGGCCTCATTGGCTATGATCCAATTGACAGACTAGACTCCACCCCTTCACTCTTTATCCTCTCAGGTCCCAAATTGACACCAGGTTATGGAGCTACCACATGTACCAAACCACATAGATCTTAATAGTGTTGATTATCAATTGTAGAATAATAGGAGATAAATATAATTGCAAATGACTTAAATGTTATATTTCTTAAATTATATGAATGCTAACAACAAAAGTGTTTTGTGAACACTTTCTAAGTTTAATGACAACATTATCAGTTACATTTTTAGTATAATGGAAGCCTCTTCATTTTTCACCTTTTTAATTACTATTTCCTTCTCCAAAAAGTGACATAGAGTCACAAATACTACTTACTACAATATTTTGCTTAAATAGCAGAAATTTTGACAAAATCAGCAACTGTAAAGATACTGGCAAGGATGAAAACAACAGCTTGTGCTGGTAACACATGCAGACAAAAAAATGGCGTGATTTAAAGGGTCACTGCAGTTGATTAATAATGATGATAGCTCTTGCTACAGTGCATTAAAAGGTTCAAAAAGTAAATTAGCATAGACTTTTAGGACTGTAGGCATATTGATACATGTAAGATGGTCTTGCAAAAAATGGTTTATTGTTATAACTAACTACAAGGATATTTTATTTTAAAAATTAGTTTCTGCTGAAATAGTGTACAAAAATGTTATAAAATAGACAGTCATTTCGGCATCAGTCCCTCTCACAATGTCACCCTGTCTGGTCCACACCGCTGTACCTGCCTAATAATGCCACGATACTCAGCTTGGTTCAAGCTTTTTGTTTGTTTGTTTCCATCTGTGATATGGGCCTAGTGTGCCTAGTTTGTTGTGAAGAGTAAGTAAGTATTGAGATATATAAAAACTCTGAGACCCCATTGTTGGATATCAGTTGTCAATTTTATAAAATAGACCATGCTTCAGTAAACATCTTTGTACAGGTCTATGTGTATAAAATATTCTGGGAGTTAAATTTCTTAGAGTTCTTAGAAGCAGAACTTCTGGACCAAAATGTATCATTTTATACTTTAATTAATACAACAAAAGTGCCTTTCACAAAGACAATCAATAATATGTGAATGTCTATTCCCCCCACACCTTGTAGTACATTGTCAAATTTTTCATCATCTCGTTACATTTGAGACAAATTCCAGAACTATTGAATTAATATATTATCGTCTCCATAGCCTGTTAAATGTACATGCACATTTCCCAGTCTTTTGCTACTACCAAATGAGGAATTCATCCCAGTTTATAACATGTATTGCAACGTAGTGACTTTTCCAATTCTTAAATTGTGCTACCTTCTAATAGAGGCATCAGCCACACTTTTCATCTTATGTACTCAAAGAATTCAGACAAAATGAAACAGTAACTCTCAGATAGCCTACACATTTCCTCTAATTTGATATAAGGAGGGTTTATTCCCTCAATATTTTGGTGAATTATAAGCATATAACTCTTTGTTCTTCTTCAATAAATTATTATCAAATTGTTCCACCTGATGATGTTAGTAAAACTGTTCATGAAATTTCATTTTATATAGTATGTCTCATGTTAGAAGAGCTATAGGGTCAAGATGAATTGAATCAACTTAACAGCAAGAAATATCAGCAAATTCCAGTTTGAGGAGCTTTATATTAACTCCCTGGTTTAGCTACTCTTAGTCAGAAAGAAAAAGAAGGGAAGGAAGAGAAAAATATACTTTTCATTCAATTTTCTAATAAAGGAAAATGTTATTGGTTCATTTTAATATGTTGGCGTGGTTTTTTTGCATAAAAATCTAATGCTTTGTTGTTTTGTTTTTGCTCCTTAGGAGAACCTGGTGTTGGGAAAACCGCTGCCATTAACCAAATGCTTGAAAAGTTAGAGGGACCAGGAGCATTTGATATAAACTATGAATCAACATTGGGAGAAGTCCTATTATACAATGAAATTAAAAGATCAAGGTATATATTAAATTCAAAATTGGGTTGGTCTCAAAAAAAAAGTGCTTTATTTTAATATATAAAAGCACCTTGATTTTTTTGTGGGGTTTTATTTTTTAAATTCTTTATTTTTAATAGCACTAAATTTTTATTAAATACTTTTATTGGGGGGCTCTCACATCTCTTATCACAATGCATACATTCATCCAGTGTGTCAAGCACATTTGTACATATGCTGCCATCATCATTTTCAAAGCATTTTCTTTCTACTTGAGCCCTTGATATCAGCTCCTCATTTTCCCCATCCCTCCCCCATCCACCCTCCCTCATAAGTTTTTATTATCCCTTGATTATCCCTTGATAAGTTATAGATTATTATTTTCATATCTAACATCGTCCTCTGTTGCCTTTCACCCACTTTTCTGTTGTTCGTCCCCGTGGAGTGGGTAATATGTTGATCTGGGGATTGATTCCCCCATTCTCCCCCCAACTTCCCCTTACCCTCCTGGTATCTCTATTTTCATTGTTGGTCCTGAGGGATTTATCTATCCTGGATTCCCTGTGTTTTGGGCTCTTATCTGTAGCAGTATGCATGTTCTGGTCTAATACAATTTGTAAGGTAGAACTGAAGTCATGAAAGTGGGGGGAAGGAAGCATTAAAGAACTAGAGGAAAGTTGTGTGTTTCATCAGTGCTACACTGCACCCTGACTGGCACATCTCTTCCTTGTGACCCCTCTGTGAGGGGATGTCCAATTGTCTACAGATGGGCATTGGGTCTCCACTCCATGCCTGCCCCCCCGCCCCCAATTCACCTTGGGTATGGTTTCATTCTGGGTCTTAGATGCCTGATAATTGATCCCGTTGACACCTCATGATCACACAGGCTGGTGTGCTTTTTCCATGTGGGCTGTGTTGCTTCTGAGCCAGATGGCCACTTGTTTATCTTCAAGCCTTCAAATCCCTAGATGCTATATCTATTGATAGGTGGGCACCATCAGCTTTCTTCACCACATTTGCTTATGCACTCATTTTGTCTTCATCGATCGTGTCAGGAAGGTGAGCATCACAGAATGCTGGATTATTAGAACAAAGTGTTCTTGTGTTGAGGGAGTACTTGAGTCAAGGCCCAATGTCCATCTTCAACCTTAATTCTTAACATACAGATATAAGTACATGGATCTATTCCCCTCTCATTATATATAAATATATTTTTACATATGTACATTCCTGTATTTAGACCTCTATAAATGTTCTCTGTCTCCTGGTTGTTTCCTCTATTTCCTTTTACTTTACTCTTGTCCCACCATCATGTTCAGCCCTCATTCAGTTTTATTAATTCTTCGCTGCTGCATTGCCCTTGATTAAGCCCCACTAGGCATCCTACTCCCTTCTCTCCATTGAGTTTAGTTCACTTGTTGTTCCCTTGTCCCTGGGTGGTCCACACCCCTTCCTTTGTCCCACTTCCCCTTCTCCCATGTCCCCCTAGAACCATCGGTCCCATTCTTTGTGTCTCTAAATTGTTTATCCTGCCTATCTTATATAGATAGACATATAGAGACATTAATAAGCACAAAAAAACGGCAAAGCCAAACAAAACAACAAAGGAAGTCAAAACCAACAAAGCAATAACAACAACAACAACAAAAAGAAAGCCACTGACAAAAATGGAAAAGCCTATAAATAGTTCAAGGTCTGTTTGTTGCTCTTTAGGAGTGTTTTCCAGTCAAGTCTGAAGGGGTGTCACACTCTGTCTCCAAAGTCTAATTTTAGTATTCCCCAGGAATTTCATCACTTTGCTCCACTTGCTGCTCTGTTGCATGCCTTAGTGTTTTGCCCCAGTATAATGGGGTCAGATGGGGCACAATTCCTGCACTGTGTCTCCAGTGTTTTCCCTCATAGCGCTATGATTCAGTGAGGGACATCATGTCTCAGGGTGGAGCCGGCCCTATGCTCCTCCCTGTGTATTGTCTGCTCTGAGCAGGGATATCATCCTTGGGGCTTGGTAGGCCAGGATGTGTTCCCCTCCCTCTCCATCCCTCTTTGTTTCTCCTGTGTGCTCTAATCAGAAATGCCCCTCTCCCCAAGCTGTAGCTTCAGTGCTATCCTCTGAAGTGCATTCTTCTGGAAGGGTGGGAGGTTTGTACACATAATTGAGGTTGGGGCTGGTTCTCTCTATTGGTTCTCTGGTACATGTTAGTGTGTTGTATTCATGTCTTGGTGCATCGGGTTGAAGCCTGGTCTCTCTCCCTCTCCTGTGGAGATATAAACAATGCCCTCCCCTCCCCGTTTTTCCCTACCCATGTCTCTTTCTTTTTTTCTCTCTTTCTTTCCCACTCCTATTTAGTTGGCTGCCATATATATCCCTGGATTGGGTTTGGCCCCTGCCATAGTACCTGTACCTCACCCCAGGAATGTATGTATATAGTAGCTTTTCCCCTAGTCCCCATTTTTTTAAGCTTACTTCAATGTACTCATGTTGTACTTCTTCTTTTGTGCTTGGCTGACTTCGCTCAATGTGCTTCATGTGTTCATCGCTGCTTTTTAGGGATGTGTAGTACTCCATTGTATGTATGTACCAGTGTTTTGATCCATTGATCCGTTTATGGACATTTTGGTTGTTTCTAACTCTTTGAAATTGTGAACTGCGCGGTGATGAACATTGGAGCACAGATGTCTGGCCATGGTTTATTTCTTGCCTCTTCGGGATATATGGCCAGTAAGGGGATTGCTGGGTCGTATGGTAGCTCAATCTCCAACTGTTTTAGATATTGCCAAATCGATTTACATAATGGCTGTACATATCTACAGGTCCATCAGCAGTTGACGAGAGTTCCTATCTCATCATAGCCCTTCCAACACTTTTTGCTTTCTGATTTTTTGAATTGGGCTATCTTTGAGGGTGTTGGATGGTATCTCATAGTTGTTTTAATTTGTATTTCTCTTATGACTAGTGATCGGGAACATTTTCTCATATGTTTATTGGCCATTCAGATTTCTAGCCTTGTGATACTTCTGTTGAGGTCTTTGGCCCACCTCTTTAGTGGGCAGTTATGTATTTTTTTCTTATTGTAAGCTTGCAAAGTATTGTAGATTTTGGTGATAAGGCCTTTGTCTGATGTGCCATTGTTAAAGATGTTTTCCTAGTCTGTGGGCTCTCTTATTACTCTCTTGGTGAATTATTTCAATGTACACAGGTGTTTTATCTTAAGTATATACCACTTGTCAATTTGTGACTCATCTGTATTTGTATCCTTCCCTATTTCCAATAGATTGTGTATTCCCTGCTCCACATTTCTCAAGTTGGTCCCAATTGCCTCATTAATGGCCCTAATAGTTTGGGGTTTTACCTCAAGGTCTGTGATACACCTTGAGTTTATTCTTGTGCATGGAGTGAGGTAGGATCTTGCTTCATTTTTCTGCAGGTAAATATCCATTTTTTTCCAGCACCATTTATTGAAGAGGGCATCTGCTTCCCATTTGATATTTTCTGGGCCCTTATCAAAAGTAAGTTGTCTATATGCTGATGTTTTTATTTCTGGGTTTTCAGATCTTTTCCATTGGTCTGGATATCTGTCATTATACCAGTACCACACTGTTCTGACCACTGTGCCTGTATAATAGGTGCTAAAATCAGGTAGAACAAGCCCTCCCACTTTTTCCTTCTTCTTGAGGAGTTCTCTGCTAATTCAGTGCTTCTTCCCTTTCCATATGAAGTTGGTAATTTGTTTTTTCCAATTCTTTGAAGAAGGATGATGGTATTCATATGGGGATAGCATTAAACTTATATAGTGCTTTGGGCAGAAGTGACATATTTACTATACTGAGTCTTCCAATCCATGAGTATGGGATATTCTTCCATTTGTTGAGGTCACCCTTGGTCTCTTGTAATAGTGTTCTGTAGTTTTCCTCATACAAATCTTTTGTGCTTTCAGTCAGGTATATCCCTAGATATGTCAATTTGTGCTTAGCCATTGTAAATGGTACTACCTAATTGTCTCTTCTGTGATGTTGTCTGATGCGTATAGCAGTCCGATAGACTTTGGTTTATTGATCTTTTGTCTTGCCGTACCACCAAATTCCTCTTTTGCTTCCAACACTCCACTTGTGGAGTTTGGGGGATTTTCAATATATAAAATCATATCGTCTGTGAATGATGATAGTTTCGCCTCTTCCTTCCCCAGACGAATACCTTTGATGTCTTTTCTTTGCCTTATGTTGTTAGCTAGGACCTCCAGTATGATGCTAAATAGTAGTGGGGACAAGGAGCATCCTTGTCTGGTCTCCATTTTTAGTGAAACTGCTTTTGTCTCATCTCCATTGATTACCACGTTAGCTGTTGGTTTTTCATATATAGCTTGTAAAATATTGAGGAATTTTCCTTCCATTCCTATCTTCTTGAGTGTTTTAAACAGGAATTGGTGATGGATATTGTCAAATGCTTTTTCTGAATCTATCAATATTATCATGTGGTTCTTATAATTTTCATGTCAATGTAGCAAATAATACTAATAGTCTTTTGTATGTTGAACCACCCCCACATCCCTAGTATGAATCCCACTTAGTTATAGTGAATTATTTATTTTTATATGCTTTTGTATTCTATTAGCCAGTATTTTGTTAAGAATTTTTGCTTTGATGTTCATTAGGGATATTGTGGTTCTTAATTCTTGTGGGATCCTTGTCCACTTTAGGTATCAGAGTTATACTAGCTTCACAGAAAGAGTTTGGGAGTTTTCTGTCTTTTTCTATGTTCTGGAAGAGTTTGTGTAGGATTGGTGTCAGTTTTTCCCTGAATGCTTGGTAGAATTCTCCTGTGAAACCATCTGGCTCAGGGAATTTTTTGTTGTTAATCCCTTGAAAACTTTGTCTATTTCTTCTATTGCTATCGGTCTGTTGAGGTTCTTGACGTCCATCTGGGATAGTCTAGGGAGGGATTGTTTTTTGCATGTATTGATCCATGTCTTCCAAGTTGTTGAATACCTTAGAGTATAGGCCTTCATAGTACTGTGTAATTATCCTT